AAATCTAAAAAATTTAACATTAATATATACAATCAAAATAAATATTAACATTAATGAATTTATCTAAGCAGTTAATTTTTATTTAATCAAATAAATAAAAAAAAAAAAAATTAAAAAATTAACTAAGTGCACACGTGTCACGCTACTAGGGGTGCTACCCCACTAGGGTAGCACCCAACATCAACCAACAAAATGACTGGCAACATGTTGGGTGGAAGAAGAAAACGTAACATTTTTCCAAAAAATATTTTTATTTTGTCTAATAAATTTTATCTAATTGCTCTTTCCACAATAAAATTATACAAATTGAACTGGATAAAGTAAATAAAAAGAATTACTTGGACTTTATCATGCCCTAACTTATTAATGTATCGATTATGTAATAAGATAAGATATGAGATAGAATAAGTTTATTTTATCTTACTTTTTAGTCATTCACGTGAGCTTAATTGAGATTTGGTGAAAAAAAAAATTAAAATCCTGTCAAGGTCCCAACCCAGGCCCGTGACTGGCACTAAGGTCTCCCGACCCTAGTTAGCCTTACAATTGCAAACATAAGCCCAAAACTAACCAAACAATTTATATATGTACATTTCAAAAACCGCCATCTACAAACCAGAATCCTGCCTGAGTGATAAAGGGAACTCTAGAATACAAATAGATAAACAAGAAACTCGCCCATACATCAAAGGAAGTGGCAGGCAACCATCTCAATCCTGGCACGCAACCCGCGAACCGACCTATGTCTAGAAAGTTTATAATAAGTGAGTCGCAAAACTCAATGAGAACAGATAATACCTACTCTATGCATATTAGAATATATATCAAGCCACAATTCAAACCATACTGACATATACAGCAATTAATAACACATCAACTATACTCTGAAAGACATCATTAACCACGTATCACATCACCCCACATCACAACACTTGACCCAAGTCTACTCACCACTAGACACTAAGGATCACCGTACCCCAGCCAAGTTCCTGGCATCGTAGTTACACTCACCTGACTGGCCGCTCACCTGAGTACGGATCGTACTCTAGCGAGTTCCTGGCATCGCTAGTAACTCACCGACCTAGGTGCTACTAGCTACGGACCACGTACTCTAGCCGAGTTTTGGCATTGCTAGTAACTCGCCCGATCCAAGCCGCTCACCACTGGACCTTATGGATCCGTACTCTAGCCGAGTTCCTAGCATCTCCACATCACATCACACAACATCATCCGCACACGTAACTCAAGAACAGGTACACATACACACCCAAAATTCATATCTCCCCAAATCAATGGTACATACTTAGTCTACTAACAGTTCACAAAACACATGACACGCATTCCAAGATTCACATATCAAACACAGTTCTGCAAATCCATGCAGACATCGTGTTAGAAAAACAAGTATGAAAATGTATGTATCATATCATCATCACCGTATAGGCCAAGTCTAACAAGAGCCTCAAGTCACCTCAACCAACTCTACGGTTATAGTGCTCCTCCACAGTGTGAATCTGAAATCAAGCCACACAAAACCGTCACCAACCCCATCGTCAGTACCCAAACGGGCTCGACAGCCTAAGACAGGACTTAAATCCCATCCCCGCACCTGACACGCATCCCGAGGCACCATTACTCACTACCGGATCCCGCGTACCTTGCTAACACTCACACTTCGGCTCAAAAACCCTTAACAGTAAAGGGACCAACCTCCACACCCCCAACCCTAGTGAACTGATATCTGAAACCCCAAATCGGCCTAACTCGATCCCAAAACTACTCAAACTTAACTCGATTGGCCACAAAACCTCAAAAATGGATTCAGAAGGCCCAAAACCTTAGAAATCATATTAACCTGGCCAAAAACCTCTAAAATTAGGCCGAACCGGGTCAAAAACTCTAATTCAGAACATCGACATGCAAACTGAGACCGGTTCACCTTGAACCAGACATCTAAACATCACTAAATTTCATGGTTAGCTAGGTTTTATCATTCTGAACTGGGAACTAGTCTTACTTTCTCAAGAACTAGCCTAAAAATCGATAATCTGTCACCCGAAGGAGACCACACTAAACTGGCCGGTTCACCTCGAATCGGGCACCACAATTTCCAAACCCATTTGGTTTGATAGAATTTTCCTCCTCGAACCCAAAATCGGTCAAAAATCCAAATTTCAATTAAATTAGCCACTGAACCGGTCGATCAAAGCCTTGGCTAGTTCAGTCAAAATCCCTTACCCGTTTTTTTTCTTTTTTTTTTTTTTAACTGGCTCGGCTTAAGCCGCGGCTAGCGGCTCGACTTGAGCCACCAGCCCAGCAGCTCGACTCGAGCCCACTTGGGCCGGCCAATCCAAGGCTCGGCCCAACCCACCCACCTGGGACGGCCCAACTTGCTCAGGCTTTCCTAGCCCCGAGCCCAATGGGGACTGGGCCCATCCCGGCCCAGCCCAAACCGTACCCAACTCGGGCTGAGTCAGCTCAGTGAACCAGAGCTGACTTGCCCAGTTCAACTCAGACGGACCCGGATACCATCCAGGTCCGTCTCCTTCACCGAAAGCTGCATCCGGGTTTGTAACAGACCTGGATCCCAAAATTTGAAGAAAAACTCAATTCAAGGCTTACTCGAACTAATCGAAGGCCGAGAATCCCTCTTCCAAGCTTGGCGAATCTCACGAAGACTTTTAATCGGATATATTCGAGCTTAATCTCCCGATTTTCTGGAAATCCACCCCCGGCACCCCCGGTTCTCCCAACTCAATTTCTTCTCCAACTCTCTCTCTAATACTCAATTCTCTCTTCCCTCTGGCTCGTCTCTCAACCACGATTAAAGTCCTAAAAGCCAGAAAAGCTGGCTTGCTCCTATTAGAGCAGATTTTGGCTTCTACACCCTTCGGGCAGCTTCCAGCGAAAGGTCCCCCCCTTTCTCTTTTTTTTTTTTTTTTTGCAATTTAGTCCCATAACTCTTGTTCTGCTCACTCTACTCCCCAAATTCTCAATTTTGCCCCCCAAATATTTCAATTAGTGCAAAATAACCCTAAATAAAATTGAAAATAATTCGAGCATTACAAATCCATTTTAGTCACTCACTGAATCTCTAATATCAACGATATGTAAATATTTTTATCAAATATATTTTTTATTTTAAAATATTTAAATTACAACTTGGGTTGAGTTACTAAAAGACTTCTTAAATCAAACGAAATTAAATAGTTTTACCAAACAAGTCCTTCTCTCCTTCTCCCTTCCCCAGTCAAAATACTGTAGATTTGTTTTATTAATTAAAATATAATAATTACAAGAGCAAAAGAAAAATAACACTGTCATAAAGAAGATTCAAACTGCCACCCCCAAATCTTAGTTAGCTTCCCATAAGCTGATAGAGTCATTTTTCCGCAAAAATCCTTTCATGGAATCAACCCACCCGCCTCTCCCACTTTTCAATCTCTATTCAAATCCTGACACGTAGAAGGGTTTTGATTGGGACAGAAGAATCAATTAGGAAGCAATAGATTGAACAGGTGCTCTATATATACATGTATACATATATATACACTTATTTATATTAAATTAAAAAAGATTATTAAAAATGAGAGAAACGGAAAAATTAGAGAAAAACCAAACGGATTTCATAATTTTTGGAGTTTTCGCTTTATTTTTTTTAAAATTTTAAATTCAAAATTAAACCCATAAACTAAAAAAATTGAACAACAAATGTCTCCTCCAAACTACAAAATTATGACTTGCACCTTTTTCAATTTTTAAAAGCCCAAACATCCCTCACTAGAAGACAAGCCTTTGATGAAGGGTTGATTGCCGGCTAATACGATATACCACAGATTTCTCCGGTACGGAAGCTCGGTTATCTTGATTAGTTATGGAGGTGGTGGGTCTTCTATCTAGTCCACTTAACCTTTGAGACTTTTCAAATCATACATTGAACAGGGCATCTTTGGTTGTCAAAAGTTAGGCCTTAGATGATTAGAAACACAAGCAATACACTTCGGTGGTTACGACCATAATGTCCCAACAAACTTCTGTCCAGAGTCTGGACAAGGACGTGTTTGGCACAACCCAACCATGATGTGCCCAGGCAACTCCACCCAATTGCGAAAGCACTCGTCTCTCCCCCCTTGACAATGACATTAACTTGTTTTATTAAAAGAATTTATTTTTTTATGCCGAATGAGAGTGTGAACATAAACCTAACAAGACTTATTCAAAGCTTTTCTTGATTGAGTGCCCATTTCATCACACACTTCGGATAATGATGCATTAAACCATATTTTGGTCATGCGTAATCGGCTTATCCGGGGAGATGCGTTAATCGCTAATTAAAAATGCACGTGCTTCCCTTCTTAATAATCTCAATAATCAGTAGGATCAGTCAAAATGACATGCTAAATAAGCGGACACTTGGGCCGGCTTACTAGATGTGCAAGTGTTTTGCTAGGAAATAACTTTGACACAATAAAGAATGGTTGGTGGGCGAAGTCGTTGGATTGTTGGCTCCGTAAAATCTCAAAATAAAAGGGTATAACAGGTAGTTTGTCACACAAAAAAATGTGATAATTTAATTTAGAGTTTGGATACCTATAGAACTTATGCTAACGGGATGTAGTCTGGAAAGCAATTTATAAGTCACCCAGATTAGCTTCTCCAGAGGTTTTACAGCTGATGGCACCTTTGATAGAAGAACTTCCAAATTATCATCGAGAATTTAAAAAATATTGAATTGCTCAACCTTGCCTACAATCCGATAATGACATCCGTAATCAAGGAGGATAAGTTACGCTGACGTGCAAAGCAAGTAAATTCAACTCATTTCCTCGGATCATGATGTAATTGTACTTATCAACCATTTGGACCATTACACGGTTGAAGGAATCAACAAAAATAATCTATTGGATCTAATGGCACAAGAAACTAACCTTCCGGACACCAAGAAAAGTCTAGGCAATGTCATGGTAAAATACAATGAATCTTTGGTTGACCTAGGCAGCTCAAGAGGAAGACCCGTCACCCGAGTCAGCTGCGGCCCTTTTCTTGGCAAAGTATTCTTCCGCACGAGCAAGGTTCTTGGCAACTGATGGCTTGACCCACTTCTTTCGCCCAGGTAGCACTGTCAACGAACAGCCTGCAGCCTCTAGCTTCTCCCTTGCTGAGGCTGAAAAGGCCCGGGCTTTGAAGTTCAGCTTCACGCTAAGTTCTCCATCACCAAGAATCTGAATATAGATTCACATACTTCATTATATTGACTGGTTTGTCCTAAATCATAGACATGAAGTTTTAATAGTAGAGCATGGAAAGGGAGATGTATTCCATTCCATGTATTAAAGACTGTTCTATTCTGCAAAGGCTATTTCATTACAGTGACATTACAAAAATGTCTATAGTATATGAAACTCATCCGCATCATGGATTTTTAGGCTTGAGAGCACTTAGAAACACATACATCACAAATACCTACGCCGATGTGTAAGCGTATATGATCTTTGATTACAATATGCTTCTTGGTCATGCATTTGGCCTTTTCTTCAGAGTGTTACAGCACATAGACTACCTAATAATTTTCACACATTGTCTTCAAGCTGTAAAACACTCCTCCCATTCCCCAACAACAACAACAAGAGAAAAAAAATTTTGAGAGGTGAACCTTGAATTATCATAATGCATAGTGATATGGAACCTTCAATTATCAAATCAGAGAGGTTTCCCTCTTTCTTATTGGAAAGTGTAGTTTGCTAAAGGCCACATCTCATCTTCTCTGAGAAAAGGAAGTGCATTGTATTAATAAAGTGAAAAAGTTAAAATAAGAACAGCAAGAAATAAAGACGCTTTCCAAAAGAGAGAGGAATCATGCAGCTCTATAAAGCAGACTCAAAGCATTTTAACCCCTCAAGAATCTATTGCCCCTTTCAGAAGGTCCAGACTCAAAGCATTTTAACCCCTCAAGAATCTATTGCCCCTTTCAGAAGGTCAAGGGAACGTGGATCTCCTAGACATACTTAAATAAAGATTGGTTGAACAAATATCCCTCATACACATCCAAATGGATATGCCTTGTATCAAATCCATTAATTTTTCAAAATATAATCCACATTTATTCTTCTTGTTTCTTCTTTCCTCCCATTTCAAGATAATCTGTCCAAGTTTCTACTTGGGGTTGGTTTCAGGTCTTAAGGACAATTCTATTTGCCTATGATATATATATATATATATATATATTCTTCCATGGATCTGGAAGAAGAAGCAGACTTCAATTGGATCACTTAAAAAATGTATACGTTCCAACTAAATATGGGATACACCACTTGGTGCAAAAGACAGTAGCAGGTGAAAAGGCCAAGATGAAGACCTATCAGAGCAAATGTCTCGATCACTTACGGGTGAAAGTGTCAATTGGGTGTTTTCAAAATATATTTTGCTTCAGATTTAATGATCCTGTCCAAAGTTCAGAAAAGTGAATCACTAAATACTTTTCAAGCAACGAGCCTTATTTTCACAGTTTGGCAAATAATGGGCTGACATGCTAGTTTATAGAACTCATAACTCAGTTGTCTGACATCAAATTAACCAAATCTTGATCAGTTCATAAATCCTTATTTTGAAAATTTTTGAAGAAATACCGTCAGTCATGGCCTATTGAAATAAACAAGCTTACCAGGGCAACCAAGAAGAGTATAACACAATGGTCTGACTAAATTCACGTATTCTGAATCCATCATTTTCTTTTTCATATAAGTGAGAAAGGCAACATGATTGCTGAGAAAGAAATCAAGTGCATTATGTCATTAGTCTCACTAGGAAGTTCCCACTATATATGTTAAATATTATTTGCTGCTAATGATACTTAATTTGAACAGAAAAATGACACTTCTTAGTCCGGCATCCTTTATGAAGATGTAATATTTAACCATCAAGTGTTCCTCACTCTCTACTGTCAAAAGGTCTAAGGGGAAAATAGAACACCATTCTGCACAATGTTTCACCATTTGAGAGGCTTTGATGATGTTTAAACAAAAAACTTATAGTAGTCAATAGTTAATACTCCCTCTTTAATACACTAGATGGAACATAACATATAAGCAGACAGCTTCATCTCTAAAGCATGTACCATTCAGAAAATTCTTACCATGATATTCATCAAATTGGAACAGATTTGAACAGTAGACATGTCCATAAAATAAATATGATTATTGTTTATAAACTTTAAAGGAAAATTGCAGTCATTGCTTTCTTACTTTTAAAGGCAGAGTTCTTTCCCTTCCTGATGGATTTATTAAACCCTTATTCTTCAGTGACTCCAGTGAGACCTCTTCACCTTCTTGGAATCCAGCAGCTTCTATATCTTTCAAGTTCACTGGTACATACTTTGGTAGACCAGCATGCATGCCTTGCACGAGCAGAAAAAGAGAGAACTTATAAACATAGCTGAGTAGATTAACAGAGGGACAACTTAGATGCACTGGACCTCATCAGGTAAAAATTTGATATTAAATTTCTTTAAAATATCCATTTGAGAAAATATACCTAAGCTAGACAACCCAGCATAAAGTTACTGAATTCTAGAAGGACTAATCATTTGTCAAATGTTATAATGACTGTCAGCAGTAGTATTACTGAATATCAAGTAAGCTCTCCTCTCTCTTAAGGGTTAAAGTATTGGATTTATTTATCTATTAAACATACAGGGTGGCATACTACAAAAATTATTCTGAGCCATTATCACATTTCATCTCTAACTTCCATTTTTACTGCAATAGTACTATAAAATTCCCTAACAGCCATTGATATGGATATATATTAAGTTCTATTCCAGTTAAGAATACACTGTCCGTTTCCCATTTCTTTTATTTCAACACTATTCTATTAAGAGTTTTTTTAACTTACTGACTGAGCCATTATCACATTTCATCTCTAACTTTCATTTTTACTGCAATAGTACTATAAAATTCCCTAACAGCCATTGATATGGATATATATTAAGTTCTATTCCAGTTAAGAATACACTGTCCGTTTCCCATTTCTTTTATTTCAACACTATTCTGTTAAGAGTTTTTTTAACTTATTGACTGTGCTGAAGAGCCAAGCTGTATAATTATAATTTCTCCATATAACTTTTTGAAATGAATGCCAAAACAGAACAGAGGACAATTCAGGAAGTAAGTGCTCCAATTATGCAAGTGAAAAAACATTGAATAGTTGTTTCCTAGAGAAATTAAATTCTTCATAGTAGAAAAAAATGTGATTAAGGTAGCATCTAAACTATCATCCACTGGACTAAAAAAGTTGGGAGTTTAAAACTGCACAAACATTAGATGAGGACATTGGCGGTGCCAATAGATGTCTAACAAATGCCATGAAGCTAATGAGTACCAGAGTGGCTCACAACATTAAATAAAGAGCAAGGTAGCACATGTCTGTTGCTACAATTCACAGGTAGATTATTTAATCATAATCTTTAATATGAGTGCAAAAATAACCAATTCAATTCAGGATGATATTATTGTTGGCACTCCAAAAATAGACCAAGAAAAACATAAAGCTAAGACCTGTAAGTGTTTGAAATGCACAACAAATGAATGTTATTCATTATAGGTGATACAGCAATGTCATTGTGCCAGCTGGCATCATATATCATGTCACCTGAATGGGACCACATGTTAGCCTTGAGGGGCACCTGGGACAACCAAGCCAAGATCTTCCAAAGCTAATTTTATGACTATAACTGATTCATTGAAAGGCCAGGCATTAAGGAACATTTGCTTGGTTCAGAACTTTGTTCATATCCCTTGTCCCTCAACATTTGTCCACCACATGGCTTGGCCAATCTAGCCATCTTACGAGATACAAATACTGCTCTAAGACTTCAAGACTTCAATCCTCAAAAGACTTGCAGAGTAGAGACTGCACTTTGAGGGTGAAGACAATTATCACAGTTGCTTTTCCAACAAGATTTTCAGAATCAGTGGCTCATATGCCTGATAGGATAAGCCTTAGATAAGGAATCCATGCTAGAAGACAAACTTCATAGATCCTTGATGTGTGGCAAGTGGCAACCTATGTCTCCACACTTCTAGTGTGCTCGATTAGATTTAGGTGTTTTGCCTCTAGGTTCAGGTATTTCAGATACAGGGTGCAATTCATGGTCTATCCTCCTTAACCTGGGATGCAATGTGAAGGCACCCATAAATAAGTCCCTTCTCGTTGTTCCCACTGAGTTTCAACTCTAAAAGCCCTATTTCTAACTTTTGAAGAGATAAATATTCTGTCAGACTAGCCACTTAGTGACATTCATCGTTGACTTCAACTCCAGATACACACTCCTTAGTAAAAATAATTAACTCATCATTTCTCATGCAAGGAAGGTTTTTCGTGTAGTCCAGCAGCGTGGACAATTTTTCATCATTGAAGGCTAGGATTTGAAATTCATCTCTTGGCCCACACACATGCCTCAGATATATGCAAAAATTCTCATGAAATTAATTAGTTCACCATACTTTTCTTGTCACTTAGAAACATAAATGCTCAAACCCCACAAGGGAAAAACAAATCTTGTTAAGAGTCAAAAGAACAGGAAAAATTGCTCATGAAGTCTGGAAAAACTGAATATGTTTCTGACCTACACTGCAAAAATGGCAGAATTAGTTTCGCCTGTTCTAAAATCTATCATTTTAACCGATGTGAGATACATCAAAGAAATATAGAGCCTAAACTACAAGCCTGTGAGACAAAAATTGCCCTGCTCATTCATGGATTATAGCCTTGCATATGAAAAACACTATAAATATTATGTGGCTTACTTGACTCCTGCAATCTCAAAGCAACAGACCACAAGGTGCATTTTTTTAATAACCGATACTAACATATCATCCTAAGATATGTAAGTACCTGATATATAAATGCGTGTGCATGCACACTCTATAAGTAAAATTTCTGTTGGATATTGTTACTTCCTGCATTATCTCATAAAGATGCATGTGCTTTTTATGTCATCCAAAGTTCGGGTGGAAGCAAAAATTTTAAAAAAAAAAAAAAAAAAAAAAAGGAGTTTCTATTCATGGTTCATCATAAATTATAAGCTTTACAATCCAGAGCAGGAAAGAACAAAATTAAAGAAAACAAAACAAAAGCTGGTTTGGGTGGAACACCTATACCGAGTAATAAAGCATGATGGTTAAAATCAATTTATACAGACTAGACACACTATAATTAAGCATCTCAACAATCATAGCTAGAGCAATGAAAATTAAATCGTGCACTGGACAAAAGGTATCTATGCGAAAATTCTCTTTTTGCTGCTACATCCATGACTAAAAATGTGCTATTCCCATTTCATATCTGCAACCTCCTATTCCCTTACACGAGAATGAACTCATTTTGTATCAAATAGGAAGATACCCAGTGAACATTTCCACGAACAGCTGGTAGGATTCAAACCGATCCCGTCTCATATAAACAGTGAAATTAAACAAATGAGTTAATAACCAAAACACATGAAAATGCTGCATCGCGCGACCTGACGTAAGGTAATAACCAATTAACCTTGCGAAAAAACAAAAACAAGCACAACATACACGAGTTACGCAAAATAGCCATTAATTACCTCCAGCAATTCCCCTCAATTTCGGGATTCGACGATAAAGCGGCATCTGCCCACCTTCGAACCCCTTTCGAACACCAGGGCCGGACCTCGATTTCTGACCTCTCATCCCAAATCCACAGCTCCCTCCTTGTCCTGCAGATATACCCCTCCCCTTTCTCTTTGCTTTCTTTCTCGACCCAGGTTGTGGGCCCAGGTTGTCGAGCCGAAATCGAACATTAGCGAGGGCAGCAACGGGAGCAGAAGCCAGCGAAGCTCGGCTGACAACGACCAGTGGCCGACCACTCTGTGTGCCCTTGAGATGAATTTTGAGAGACGAAAACGGACATGAGTTGGCCCTGAGATTTCTCGCATTCCCCTGCGCAGAGGAATGGGAAAAAAGACAGTGACATTGGCGTCCTTAAATGACAACTATCTGGATGTTGATTAATTAAAAGTTAGCCAATAAGATCGAGGTAGTACCTTGAACGGTGATGAATTACGGAGGATAGGTGGGGTTTTGGTTACCGTGGCGGAGGAGAGGGAGAGCATGGAAGCCATGACCATGGGGGTTCCGCGTGTCTCAACGAGCATACCGCTCTGTACTCAACAAGCCTAACGGATAGGGGTACCGTGGTTAAATTACACTTAAAGCCCTCATACTTATATATTGGCGTTAATTTGCCCCCGAACTTCGTAATTTTGGCCTTTTTGGGTCTTAAACGGTAGCAATGTCTACTTTCCCATCTGGCATACTTCCTTTGAATTTGAAAACAGGCTTAAAATTGATAAAATTGTGGAAAAGATTTAAGAGTTTAGATTGATAATGAACGAATAAGTAGTCATGGAGTATGAAGATATATTACTTTGGTACATGTGAGTGAATAGGGAAGTTTAATTAGATTTAGATTAAAGATATTGATTTATTTTATTTACTTTTATTTAAATTAATAATAAGGCAATTTTTTTTTCTTTTGCTATGGAATTTTCGGTCCAATATATTAAACATTAGTTATCAAATAAAATTTCAATGGATACGGGACCTTCCCTAATCTTGAGACCAACAATCTCAAATAATAAAAAGAAATATTCCGGGATTATTCTTTTATCACCTCAAAATTATGTACTTTTAAAATTAAAACATATATTTAACGTATAATATTTTAGAGATAATTGATGTATTATTTTTTAGCATATATTTTTGTGATATATTTTTGAAATTGTATTCTTTTGAACATTTTGTCTAAGACAAGAACCTGTGTAAAAAAATTAATATTTTAGATATTAGTATAAATAAAAAAATAAATTAAAAAAACTAATATAGAGACTAAAATGACAAAATTAAGATATGAATAACTAATATATATATATATGCACTTTTAAAATATATTTTAAAAAAATAATACTTTTAAAATTTTAATCTAAAAAATAAAGAAATATATTTCTGAAATTGTAAATGATAAACCCATTAATTCTCTTACTTTGATTTATTTAACACTAATGTTGCATAAGTAATTTTAAAACCCTTGCCTCACTGAACTCAAGCCCATCATATAGTACACACATTACTCTTAACAACCCCCTCTGACCACGCCAAATAGTGAAAGGCATGAAATATTGGATAGGTATAAAACATGTTGTTAATATTCTTTGATTGTTAATATGTTAGATTTAAATTAAATCATGATAAAGTTGGATTCGAATTTGATAATAATATACTATATTTAAATTAGACTCGAAATCCTATAAGATACGTGTACTTAACACTATTATATCTAAATTTGAATAAAATTTGATATTCAAAATAATAATTCAAATTCTAATTATTGAATTATTATATCAAAATAAGAAATTTTTAAAAATGAACTAATAAATAATTTATGAGTTTAAAAATGTAATATAATTATATTTGATCCATCACAAATATTACATTTAATATTGATTTAATGGTAATATATAATGACTACATTTAATTGATGAATATACATATTTTTTTATTTTTATAAGTAAATATTTTTAACTTATATTTTAAGAAAAACAATTTATTAATTAAACTTTGATAAATAAATTTTATATTGTAATATGTGTGTGTGTGTATATATATATTTTTGAATTCAAACTTTTAACCGATCAAGTCAGATAAAATTTATATTTACGTAATTTATTTTAAATTAAAATTTTATATAATCAAATTTTTTTTTTTCCTTCTTGTTGGCCCATTTCCATTTGTCGGAAAACCCTGTACTCATTTCTTTCAATTGATGACTTTCTTTTCTTTGTAGGCTTTCATTGGGACAGCATATACTACGGAAGGTATTATAAAAAAGTAAATTAGATAAAAAAAAATAACTACAAACTACAGTCCGGTCCAAATTGGGCTCATCTTTCTGGGCTTTGTCATGTGGGCTTTTATTAATATTGGGTGCCTCTAGGAAACCAGAGTATGGGCCCATTCCATTGGACTTTTAACATTTTACCAGTGTCGGTTTACCTTTTTATATAAAAAAAAAAGGAAGAAAAATGAAAAACGATCCCTTCATATGGACTTCTCGACATCCCAAGATAGGTTGAGATCTTCTTTGCCAATGACAAAAAGAAAGAAGTGGCAAAGTAACCAAACACCCACTTAAAACCAGAGAAATCATCAGTAGCAGCAGCTTGTTGGACTAGCAAAACACGTTATTACATAAAATTATCAGACAAAATAAAGCAGACATAAAATTACTAAAACGGGTAGGAGACATCAATGTACAGCGTGCAGAAGAATTGTTTGGTCGAAGATTAATAAGATTATTGGAGAGCACTCACTGGCTTTCAGTTAATATAGGGGCAGTGAAAAAGATGACAGACCTTCACGGTATACAAGATTTGCCTTTTCTTTTCCTTTGTTTTTAGCCACCCTAGTTACCCTCGCCTTGGATGAATCAACCCCCAAACTCCTTTTTGTTTGTCCAAGTCCTAAAAACTAAGCTTATAGCAAAAGCTTACTTCTAATGGTTTGAGATCATTGGAGGTCAAGCAAACAACAAAAGTTAAAAGTCATCTTCTTAACCAAACTGATTCTTAGCTTATTTTTGAGCTCCGAGGGAGAAAAAAAAAGGAAAAATATCTTGTTTAAAAAATGGATTTGGAAAAGTAAATAATATGAATTCCTTGCATTACCTTTTGTTTTCTACTTACAAATTATAGATTGAAAAATACCAGGTAATGGTGATTTTCTGGGTTCTGATTAGTCGATGGAAAGAGCACAAGAGAAATGCAATTATTTGTAACAATTTATTTTTTTTAGTTTTAACAAATAAAAATATTATTTTTTGACCTCCTCTAATTTTCACACCAACCAAAATATGAACAATCAATGTTAATATATTCTCTCATTTAAATTTATCTCCTCTCTCTAGTTACTGCTTTTTTTTTTTCCTTTTATTATTTTGTTTGATAATATTTAATTATTTTATTTACTTTTTTTTTAAATAAAGAGCTAAAATGGTAAATAAAGGGAATACAGAGTGGCAAAAAATGATGTTCCCCCCTCACTCTCCCATTCTATTTTTCTTTTTTTCATAAAAATAAATAAAATAAATATGAACGTTGTTAATTAGAGCAATATATATTTGAAAATTCTTACATATCTCAATATTAAACAGTGGACTACTTATATATCTTAACATTGCATTAATTTTTTTTTGTATTTATGTTTACAAAATAAAACTGAAAACAACGTTTTATTTAGTTCTTTTAGTAAATAAAATTATAAAACGTATTTCAGATGTTAATAACGAGAAATGAGGAGATCTTTGAACAGATGTAAAAAAAAAAAAAATAACTCGTAAAAATTATCTGTATTTAAAAAACTTAGCAAACTTTCATATTTTTGTTTTTAGTTTCAAAGTTTCTACAATATAAAAAAAAAGTCAGAGAAACCCTCAACAACCTATTTTCAAAAGTGAGATATGCAAAATCTAAAAGCTTAAAAAAAAAAAAAAAACCTTAATTATCCATGTGATTCATTTTCAGGGTCATTTCGAAAGTGAAGCAATTTGGGGTGTGAATGTTTTGAATTTGAAACCACCGTTTTAACAGCGAGACTCTCCGTTACCTAAATTATATATATATATATGTATATGTATATGGGGCACTGCCCTCAATCTTGATTTAATCCAATTTCATGCGTTGAGAAATCTTTTTCTTGCTTAATCTTGCTGCAAAAGAAAAGTTCCAAAGGTTAGGTTTTCACATTTATACTTTCACTGTCTAGCAGAATTAGAAGGTGTACTCAAACAAGTCTCAGCTTGCTTTATTAAGGAAATTCATCAAGGCCAAGGCATAAACAATAACTATGCATTTATATAACTACTTGAAAAAAATTCAAATTTGTTTGTTTTGATATCATTTATAATGATTCGAAAGTATTGATTTAACAATTTGTTAAAGTAAATTATTATTTCAAAATACTTAAAACCAAAATTTTTAGTAGTAACTTTCAAGAATTTTACGTAATATATAATATCATGTTCAAATATCAATGTATCATGTAATAATAGAGATCTTAAATCTTAAAAGTAGTGGGTGCATCGCCTTTCAACATTGTGGTGTCCCAATGTTGCAAAGCCCCTCCATATTTCATCGTCACAAAACCCCTCTATGTTTTGCCGTCACAAAGCATATCATAGGCCCTTACCGCAGAGGCTGTTGTAGGCAAAAGGGCTATCATGGATCGAAAACTTCTCATTATTATTATAGTCACAGAAAATGAATAGTTTGTGTGTCAATAAGCAAATATTTTAGAAAAGAAGCAGAGATTCAAAATGGCTATTAGTAAACAAATGGCCAACCAAAGGGCATATCAACGCATAATAGAAGCACGCATTCAGAATTCTAGATGGAGATAAATTGACGCATGAGAAAGAAAGTTAACTAGTGTGTCATTTATCATTTTGTTTAAGAGTTTTTATTATTTATGTTTTAGTCCTGAAAATTCAATCATTTAAAATAGTCTTTTAATATTATTATACTTTTGTTTTAAACTCTTAATTGACTCCCAAACTTTGAATTTATTTTGAAGTTATATTTGAATTTCTAACTTATTCATACCAGTTCTCCAGTGGATGTACAATTAAAAAAAAATTAGAGGGGCATTCTATAATTAATTTATAGTATAAACCCCAATTTGCAAAAAAATTGAGGGGATGCATTTGCCCACCCTCGGGTCAACGTAGCTCCGCCAGATCATAATTAATTTTGTATTTACGTGATTATGCAAATAATGTTACTCTCTGATCACATAATATGACTGTTCTACTAATTCAAAATGGTGCCTAGATTATGTAGTGCATAATGCATCTTTAAGCTAAATATTTGCAATGGGCATTAAAATTCAACTTAGTAAAGCAATTAATTTTTGTTGAATAATGAACAACCTAATTGGAATACCCAGAAGAAATTAACAAGTATTTGGTATAAGATATTTTGAGTTTAATTTTAAAAATTAAGATTTTTTCTTTCTGAAAATAGTAACTCAACGATTAAAGTTTTCAAGCTTCAATTTAATTTTAAAAAATATTATACCTCCTCCTAAGTTTAGAAACTCTAAAACTAAAATCTTATGTACTAGATGTATCTCAAGCAATATTTCTATCTATTGAGCCTCGTTCTCTCATCACATGCTGCCTCCACAAGAATCAAGATTTAAAGTATGATAAGAAAAGATTTTAATTTATACCATTTCTTTGATAGTTGCACGTATATGTTGACCTTACAAAAGCAAGACCAGACCAATCAACCTCAATCTCCCAAGGAGAAAACAACCCATCAGTTTTCCTGACTAGCTTTCCAATTTTTGAATTGAAGCAACAATCTAGATCACTGTACCACTAATAGATGCAAAGTGATGGAAACAATTCCATAATATATACACTTAGTACCACATAATCATGACCTCTGCCATGCCCTTCTCAATACAGATAAATCACAATAATGGTGAAGATCAGTTTGATTCACTTCAGAGTGTGTGTGTGTGTGTGGGGTGTGTGTGTGTGTAAGGCATTGTTTTGTCTTGATCGACCTCCAGGTATAAATGTCATCTTGCATACTTGATCAGGGACTGCATTAATGCCCCCACTGACTTTGCAAAGGACATGCGCATTCTACGGACAAGGATTTTCTTTTGTTATGACATGAACTGAATAGTTCAGTTTTTTTTTGGGTCTATCACTACAAAATTTAGTCCATGCTCTTTGTTTGTTTATGAGAAGCTGATTCTTTGAAATGTGAGGATTTCTTTAAAAATGCTTCTTGTTTAGAAAATTAGTTTTTAGGTTTCTTTGTTTTACGTAAATATTTTTTGAACTCTTTTTCACTATAATATGTTACTTTTTGACAGATAGCTAAAACCCTTAATCTAAAAGAGTCAGAATTTTTTTGAAATAACTAAACATATACAAAAAATAAGAGTTGTGAAGAACCCTAC